GCCGGTTCCTCGAGCAGCGGCGGCGGGAGGGGTGGCGGCGAGGGGAACGCGTCCTTCAGGGCGGGATGGGCGGCCGCCGGGGCGGGGTGAGGCGAGAGCTCTGGGTCCCGGTAACGGGACTGAGTTTTGCCCGGTTTTGCCGCCCGTGCTGGCGATGCCCACCGGCCTGCGCCCGCCCTCGGGGCGGTGTGCGGAAGCGGTTAGGAGCAGCCCCGCAGGCCTTCTCCCGCTCGTTATCACGTCCCTCATGTTCTCCGCTCGGCAGAGAGGCGCCCTCAAGGTTTATTTTCCTCTATTGTTCTGTCAGCCTTCCTGCAAGACAAAAAAAAAAATAGAAATAAATAGGGTGTTGGACTAGAAACTCAATCACCTAGAATTTGCTTTATCGTTCAGCTTCACATTCTTCCGATGACTCTACGCGAAAACAGGCAAGTGTTCAACTGAGCACACGCTATTTCTAATGGGAAGAGAAGTTCAGATCCTCCTTTCCTCCAGCCTCCGAGGCTGACACCAAAGCTGGGAAGTGGCAAGAAAGAAGAGGGTGCTAGTGTTATTGCTGGGTTTCTGAAGGGAAAAGGTGATAGGGGATCACCAGAAAAGAAGATTCTGAGAAGGTGACTGCCCCCTGGGATAGGATGGACCAAGCACTCCGTTTCCTTTGGTTCAAAACTAACGTGGGGGTAGTGGGAAAAACCTGTGAACTTGCTGCTAAGCTCTCACAGGGTGGAGTGGGAGAAGCCAACTGATGGAACAGTGAGAGAAAATTAAGGAAGTGTTTCTGAAATTGTTCAGAGCTCACTGCTGCTTAATTCACGTTAAGAAACAGGCTCCAAAAATGTATGGATACAGTGTCAATTGCACAAAGTGTCGCTGAAGTTCCCCTTTTTTTTAAAGAAAAGGGAAATGGTGCTGGACACTTACAGAACAAAACTATTTCCAAGGAACTAACACGCTTTAAAAAAAAGGATTAAAAAAAAAAAAAAAAAAAAAGCAGGGGAAAGAGAACAACAAACTTTTGCTTGTGTCCCTATCTCCAAGCTGGTGTTAAGAGTATTCACACAAGAGGTGTCTCCCACCATTTCTGCACAGCCTTATGTGTTTCCATGCTGCCCACTTTCCCTTCCTCCCCTCTGGTCTCCACTTCCAGACTCTGCTTCTCCTTTGTCTTCTCCTTCATCTCAGCCTCTCCTAGTTCCCCCCAGCCCACTTTGATGGCTCCCACCCAAGTTACTCCTTGATCCTTTTGATTCAAATTTCTTCTCACCTAGGTTTCGTAACAGATAATACATGCAGCTCTCTGCTGTAGCCTTTTCAGGTCCAGTTGTCGCCTTGTCTCCCCTCTCCTTGCTCCTACACTTGGATATGTGTACATGCGCATCTGCTCTTATCTCCCCAAGCCACCTTGCTGTAGATGATCCTTGCCAGCAGATCCCCAGCCTTGCCATATCTCCCACCAAGCCTCCTGCTCCAGCAGGATTTTTAAAACCCTGTGTGGGCTGCACTTAACTAAGATCCACTCAGAAGAAGCCCTGCAAGCAAAAAAGGCTGGCATGTTTATGAAAAACTGGCCCTGTGATAGTGTCACCCAGGCAATGCCTAGGTCTACTAGGAGATTAAATGCAGAGCATGGATTTTTGAAAGGCAAGTTCTCCATAGCAAGGACTACCAAATGGCTGTGCAAAAAAACATCAAAAAACAAACACACACAAAAAAAGGTGCCAACAACCACTTGAAAAATGGTGGAAATGGTGGCTATGTGCATCAACGTCCATACTGCCTGTGCAATGCCTGTGCTGAATTGTACCTGCCACGTATAGCACATAAAGGTCCAGTGCCAGATAGATATACCAGATATAGCAGAGCTTGAAATAATTTGAGTTCCTTCCTCATATCCAGCAAGTCTGCTACAAGAAGAAATGAAAGGCAGCAGGTCTCTGTCAGGCTCAGTGGCTTTGGGTTCAACGTCCCCAGTGCTGAGGAGCAGGGAGCAGGGTGAGGGCTGGGAGCTATGGGCAGCAGAGCTTGTTCCAACATCGCTGAACCAAGAGATGAGCTGACCCGGTGCATATTTTTAAGAGATTCCCAGGACACTATAACTCTTCCAGGAAAGAAAAGTGGTTTTACAGCTCCTCTGGGAGACGGAGCAGCCCAGGAGAGGAGACCCTTGGGGAGAAAGGGAAGCCCAAGAGAGGAGACCCCAGGCTGCTGTCAAGCCCCTTGCGGCCAAAGTGCACCCCACCAGATCATGAGGGCGAAGGGTTTCTCGAAGAAGAATTTCAACTGCCTGGCTTACTGCGGGCTCAAAAAGCCCACTGCAGAGAGCCCCACGGCCGCGCAGGTTTTATTTAAACAACGCAACCACCGGCCTTTGCTGAGGGGAAAAGGGGCGGCCGCCCGCGCCTCTGCCGCACAAGATGGCGGCGGGGGCGCAAGGCATGCTGGGGGCTGTAGTCTGGCGCTGTGGGGTCGCTGGGGCGGCGGCTGCTCCCTCGCCCCGCGGGGAAAAGGTGGCAGATTCTCGCGAAGAGGAGTATTTGGGGCGTTTTCCTGCCGCCTCCCTTTCTGCCCAGCGGTTTGGGGATGACCGAGTCTTAGGCTGGCCGGGGAAGTGGGGTGCCCGACCCGTGTGGAGGGGCGGTGGGAAGGCGGGACTGTGGGCAGGCCGCGGCGCAGCCCGGCGGGCTCAGGGCCCTCGCTGTGCTAGGGCCTGTGGGGAGGTACCTCTGGGCCTTTAAGCTTGCTGAGCCAACGGGCCAGTGGCTGCCCACAAACTGATCCGTGAAGAGGTTTCACCACCACAGTCATAGAATCATTGACTTAAAGAGTTGGAAAGGACCTTAGACCTTAAAGATTATCTGGTTCCAACCCCCTGCCATGGGCAGGGACACCTCCCACCAGACCAAGTTGCTCAAAGCCCCATCCAGCCTGGCCTTGAACACCTCCACGGATGGGGCATCCACAGCTTCTCTGGGCAACCTGTTCCAGCATCTCACCCACCCTCACAGTGAAAAATTTCAGAATTTCATACAATGTAGGTAACAATTTTACCTCCATGTCTCCTGTTTAGTATGCATCTAGTTACACCAGTAACTTCTCGTTTTCCACACTTTCAAGCCAAAAAAACCAACTGTGACAGCACCTTGAAATACATCTTAAACATGTAGAGGCACTTGAAGTGTGAAAACCACACATTGATTTTCAATCAGTCAGTATTAAAAGACGAAAGTAGTCAAAACAAGTTTGTTCAGGTTGCCACTAAAGAGCTTCTGAAGTATTGCTGTTCAAGTTGGCTGTTAAGGATGTAGTGAAGGTCTTGTGCATCTAGAGCACAAATAACAAAAGGGAATTTCCAGAAGCAACAGCAGAGACAGATGTGCATGCGTTGCTCATACTTAAGGGTAAATTATGCAGTAATTATAGGTTGGTCTAAATCATATTAAACTCTAGGATGTAGCTGTATCACTAAGAAAACGATAAAGGTGCTCCTCACACACTAGCAGGTCATCAGCCAAAATACACATATTTGCAAGACACATATTGTCTCAGGGGTTCAATACCTATTTCATCAATGCTTTCTTTTTGTCTGGAGAAGAGAATACTACATGAGTGATCTCTGTCAATGTGATTACACCTCAAATAAATAAGGCTGGAGGGACCTTCTCCAACAAAGTGCTGGCTGAAAGGATGCTGAAAGCAGTGATCAAAGATGCAATCTTCTGCCATGTTTGAAATGTTGCATTTACTAAATAAACAGCTGCTCCTCCAAGAAAGACCAGTTCTATCAACAGCTTCTCCTGGAGTGAACAAACTGCATTATCCTCAATACTGGCTAACTAATTGGATCAAAAAGAAGCAAGACTTTTAGCAGAAGTCTGTTATATATGGATATTTTTTTTATTGTTGAACTTGTAATATCCTAAAGACATACCCAGTCTGTGTGACAAGACGTAATATGCATAGCTGTGTTATTGAATCTTCCCTGATTTTCATTACTTTGCTTGGGATTGGTGTTAGAATGGCAGGTATTTAGCTGCCTGGGTCATCTTAGCTGGTCCAGTACTTAGCCCACACGCATTGAGTGGGAAGACACATGGGTTGAGGACAGTAGAAGCAAGTGGTGCTTATATGAACTCCACCATCCACAGTGCTAACACATTTCTTATAAATGCTGGTGAAACTTCAACTCAGTTATACTTAAGCAATCAGTATGTTTTTATCCATGCAATGAATTTTTCTTTAAAATTCCTCCTTCATTCTTTCAGGCTGGAAACTGCAAGCAAAAATTTTTAAGCATTCTGAGGATATTTTGGCTTCAGGAGGCTCCCATCGCATTGCTCAGTTTGGAATCCCCT